CATTGCTCCAGGCTGGCTGGAGGATGATGGGGGTTGCAGTCAAATTCCTTCAGGCTGAGGCAGGGCTGGTGGTGGCCTGGGGGGCTCATCCTAAGGGCTGCATCCCCTCCCTTTGGGATGCTGGCCACTCGCCTCTCCAGAGACCTGGATCCCTGCGACTACCTCTCCCATCATCCCCTCCCAAGGCAGCCGCTCTCCTTCCCGGCGCCTGGGGTTACGGAGAGGCCGCCGAAGGAGCCTCTGATCTACGGCGTGGCTGATAAGAACTGCTGTCCTTAATTGACCAAAGATTGCCTCTGATCACACAGCGCTGTAACATGCTCTCTGCTCCTGACCGATCGCCCTTAAATCAGCTCCAACAGAGGCATCCAGGAAAGAAAGAAAGAAAGAAAGAAAGAAAGAAAGAAAGAAAGAAAGAAAGACCGCCTGGGAAGGGAGAGGAGGTGAGAGGGGTTTTCATCCGCACTGCAGAAATAATAAACCAAGTTGACACCGCTTTAATTGCCATGGCTTTATGCAATGGAATCCTGGGGTTTGCAGTTTTGTGAGACGTTTAGCCTTTTCTGTCAGAGAACTCTGGGGCCACCACAAACTACACATCCCAAGGTTCCATAGCAATTAAAGCAATGTGGAGCTCATTATACCTGCAGTAAGGATGCAGCCTACAACTCCCCATTTGGCAACCTGATCATGAGGTTTTCTTGGCATTTGTTCAGAGAGGTTTTGCCTTCACCTCCTGAGGCTGAGAAAATGTGACTTGCCCAAGGTCACCCAGTGGGTTTGCATGGCTGAGGCGCAATTTAGTCCCTGATGTCATAATCAAACCCTCAAAGCACAACACCACACTTGTCTCATGTTGTTGTTGTTGTTGTTGTTGTTGTTGTGTGCCTTCAGGTCCCTTACGACTTACGGCAAGCCTGAAGTGAACCTATCATGGGGTTTTCTTGGCAAGATTTCAGAGGAAGACTTTCATTACCTTCACCTGAAGCTGAGAGCATGTGACTTGCCCAAACTCGCCTACATCATCCACTCATTCCATGCTTGGTTTGCAATGATTTCTTCTACCTGCACAAGAGTTTTTCCAAAGTTTTTCCAAAGTTTTTTTTAAATAAAACAAACCATTTGAAGGACAAATTTTCTCCCTGTATATTTTTTAAAAATTAGAATTTCATAATGTAAAAGTGCTATTTCACTGATTCACTATAACTCTAAAAAAAAATAAAAAACAGAAAACAGAATGATACTTTTTGTTGTTCTTCTGGTATGTATTAGACATAAAACAAAAATAACACTTGAGTGTGAGAATAAAATGTGGGGTCAGAGGTGCCAGAAAATAGTTTGGAACCAAAAAGAAAGCATAGTTTGGATATTTAAACGCATGAGAAACACTACATCAACCAGGAGGAGTGGGAGGACTACACTGCCCACCATCCCCCAGCCAACATGTATCAGTGGCCATGAGTGCCCTTGGCTAATGCCAGAGATTATGAGAGATTATGGGAGTTGTCATCCAAAATAAAGTATCTTTCCTGAATGCTGCAAGCCCCACTTCAGGAAAGATACTGGGGAATGGCATGAGAAGGAAGAGGGGAAAAAAGAATTGTAAGTCCAGGGAGGAGGATCCTTGGTCATTGTGGAGGGAGGAAAGGAACTGCAACCTCTACTACAACAACCAAGAAAAGATATATAAAAGCATAAAGCGGACTTACATCTGTATAGGCCACTCATGGGATGCCAGCAGAACTGTGGCAAGAAGTTGAGGAACGTCAAAGGGAGAGCTTCATCAGTGCTAAGATACATTTACAACTAATGAAATGGAAACTAACTGATGCAGCCAGGAATTACTGTGGCCCTCCAGCTTTTGTTAGACTGGGTACCAGATCCCATCTGATCTTGAAACTAAGGGGGGGTTGCAGACTGTCAGAAATAGTGAAAATTCAGTCCACTTTTAGGGTTAGGGTTAGAGCTAGGGAATCATGGGGATTGTTTTTTTTCTGAGACATTGAGCCTTCTCTGTCAGAGAGCTCTAGTGCCACAATAAACTACAGTTCCCACGATTCCCTAACCCTAACCCTAAAAGTGGACTGAATTTGCACTTTTTCTGGCAGTCTGCAACCCCCCTAAATGAAATCAGACGTGGTTAGTACTTGGATGGGAGACCACCAACAAATACCCTGTGTATGGTGGCCTCGCACCTTCCCTGGTGCCTTGGCTGGCTTGTGGCTGATCTCTGTGGTCAACCAAAGGGGCAGAGCAGGCCATACACACCCCAATACACACTGAGTGACCCTAAGGATGTTATCACGCGTGGGCCAGAAAGCGATAATAAAGTGGAAATGAGTCATTTAGAAAATAAACTGAAAATAAACCTTGATTCCGCAAATGGAATTACCTTAATTGCAAAATTAAAGTAAGCGCATTTAACGTTCACACACAAGCGAGAAAAGCCCATAAATGTACTAGAAATGGGCTTCTTGCACATGCGCAGATAGAGGAATGCTCGCCACGGAACCATGGGAAAAGCAGGGAAATGCTCCCAAATGAGCATTTGGCTATCACATTACGGTAAATGCGAATTTACCTTAATTGCGCATTTGCATTTCCTCCAAACAACCAAATTTCAGAAGATCTTCGTTAACACCAGTTTCTGTCCACTTTCTGTCCAGTTTCTGTGTGATGTCGTGTGAAAACACAGGGCACTAATCCAGTTTCTGTTTGGGTTTTGTGTGGATTAACCAGCAGATTTGCCCCCGTGTGATAACGTCCTAACACTAGGTGATCTGGAGCATCACAGTTGGCAACCTCTGAGCAAAAGCTGATAACAACATCCTTTCCTCCAATGAACTAAAGGCAGCACATTCCTCCCTACCTTATTCTCACACCAGCCCTGTGTGGTGGATAGGCTGCATACCTTTTTCCATGGCTCACTGGCGATTGAGACCTGGATCTCCAAAGTCCCAGTTCAGCACTTTGTCCAATCACTAGACCATACATGTGTTGGGGGAGATTCCCCCTCTCCAAAACTGTGTGCATAAGCTTATGAGTGTCATCCATCTTCGGAGACCATGAGGAAGTCTATGGGGGGTTGCAGACTGCCAGAAATAGTGCAAATTGAGTCCAATTTTAGGGTTAGGGAATAATGGGAACTGTAGTTTATTGTGGCACCAGAGCTCTCTGACAGAGAAGGCTCAATGTCTTAGGAAAAAAAACAATTCCCATGATTCCCTAGCACTAACCCTAACCCTAACCCTAAAAGTGGACTCAATTTGCACTATTTCTGGCAGTCTGCAACCCCCCTGTGTATCTCTGTGCCACTTTGGGAGCATGTTTGAGCCAAGGAGGTGGGAGGGGGTTTAAGACTGTTAGATTAGTGTGAAAAGGAAATAACAGTAGCCCCCAGAACTCTAAAGAGGGCTGTTTTAAACATGGTAGGGTTAATATTGCAAAGACCGTATAATGGGGTTTTCTTGACAAATTTCTTCAGTGGGGGTTTGCCATTGTCATCCTCTAAGGCTGAGAGAGTGTGACCTGGCCAAGGTCACACAATGGCCAAACTGGGATTCAAACACTGGTCTCCAGAGTCATAGTCTAAGCTCAAAACACTACGTCACATACTTATTCCTAAACTCTTTGATAGAATCAGAATCACTGATGGTCTAAACTCCAGTGAGTAACACATGGTAGACTGTGGTGGTGGTGGTAGTGGTGGTGGTGATAAACAGTGCAAAGCTCTGATAAGTGCATTACTAAGGATTCTGTAAAGTATGAAATGGGAAGAAGTCAATGATGGGGGCAAGACTATGAGTTACCGCATTGGGTGACACCAACACTAGGGATGCTACTGACTTAACTCATTAGAAAATAAAATAATTTTTTTTATTATAAAAAACAGGAGGAAAAGAAGACAACATTCTAGATCAGGGGCAGGCAACCTTTTTTGCCAGGGGGGCCGGGGGGGAAATGGCTCGGGGGGGCCAGGCGGGCACGCACAACAATGCCGTCATGTGCATGCGCACACGATGCAGGCGCCATTTTGGAAGGCCCGCTGCGGGCACAGTGGGGCTTCCCTGGGCCTTGGAAAGGCCCTCCCGCACCTGCACCGGGCGAATTCGCTGTGGGGCCTTCCAAAATGGTGCCCGCATCACACATGCATGCGAGCGCGATGCGGGCACCATTTTGGAAGGCCCCCCCCACACTCGCGGTGGGCGAATTCGCCCGGCACAGCCACAGTGCAGCCTTCCGAAGGCCCAATGGCGGCTGCGCAGCCACCGTGGGGCCTTCCAAAATGGCGCCCGCTGCCGTGCGCATATGCACATGAGCACGGGCACCCTTTTGGAAGCCAAAATGGCACCCACGCTTGTGTGTGGTGCTGCAGCGGCGGCAGCAGGACCGGCCATGGGCCAGTCCCAAGGCCTCCACAGGCCACACGTGGCCCACAGGCTGTAGGTTGCCAACCCCTGTTTTAGATGGATATACTGGATAGACTCAATCAAGGAAGGCACAGCCCTGAGTCTGCAAGACCTGAGCAGGGCAGGGCATGACAGGAGAACTTGGAAGTCTCACATTTATCACGTCACCATAAGTCCAAGTCATCTTGGTGGTAGTTAACAACAGTGGCAGCCAAGACTTGAAATCCCAAAGCTTTTTACATGAGTAGGCCTGGAAGCAAAGCCCAGATTGAGTCCAGGGTGGAGTTTAGTTCCCATGGTGGCAGGTGGGAAAGGGCACATGCATGATCAAAAGTCTATGCAAAAACAGTCCATTTGTTTAAATGGATGTGCATCCTTAGCCTGTTTTCTTTTGGGGTAGCAGAGACAGAGAGAGATTGAGAAAGAGAGCTATGCACTGCTACAGGTTCTACCCACTTTGGGTTCTGGGTTCAACTCTATTAGATCTAGCTCCAACTGCCATCACGAGCAGCCCCTAGTTTACTTTTTCCAATAGGCCTTCCTAAGAAAAAGGTTCCCCACCATTGCTTTAAGATGGAGTAAAGCTTGAGAGCCACTGTGATGTAGTGGTTTGGGTGTTGGACTAGGACTCCAGGAGACCAAGGTTTGAATCCTTGCTTAGCCATGGAAACCCACCGGGTGACCTTGGGCAGTCATACTTTCTCAGGCTCCATCTACACTGCAGAATCAATTCATCTTGACACTGCCATGGCCCATGCTGAGGAATTCTGGGGTGCGTAGTGAAATTGGTGCCACAACTACAAATCCTGGGGTTCCATAGGACAAAGCCATGGCAGTTAAAGCAGTGTCAAACTGCATAAATTCTGCAGTGTGGCAGCAGCCTGATTAGTCTCAAGGCAGTGGGAAACCCCCTCGGAATAGGTCTTGCCAAGAAAACCATGTGATGGGCTTGACTTAGGGTTGCCATAAGTCGGAAACAATTTGAAAAACACACAACAACACAGCTTTTTTAAAAATCTGAAGAAGGATTTTCAACCTGTTACTTTTTATTGTTGCTTCTGCTAAATCCATTTTCTTTTTGATTAGTTAGCAAGCCTTCCTGCATCCCACTACACTTCACTCTCCAGAATTCTTCTAGCAAAAAGCCTGCATGCTAGGGTTTTTTTTTAACTGTTTATCTCTTTATGTTATCTTTTGTGTTTAATCTCCAAAAACCTTCCTCTGGCTGTGGGGGTGGGGAGCCAAAGCAATCACAAGGATAGCACTGGAACAATTTCTCCCCCATTGTGTTTTTGGCCTCTTTGTAGCCCTGTTGGATTCTGCCACCTAGTGACAGGCAAAGAGAGTGGCATGATTTTTTTGTAGATTGCATCAGTTTGTTCTTCTTCCTCTCTGGCTTTTTCCTATTACTGTTTTTGCCAATCTTATCTGGACAAGATTTTGAAAGCAAGCCAGGGGTGCATGGTCTCCCGTTCTTCCAGCATTTCTACACAAGTGATTGTTTTTTCGGAGGAAACAGAACTGTGACAGGAAAACTCTTACGGGAGTAAGGGAAAGACATCAACAATAACCAGTCTGAGAAATGCTAGAAAAAAAAATAATATCATGTGCTGGAAGAGCTGTGATTTTTTTTCCCTTAGTGGAACACTGTGCTAGGCCTCTGCTGGATCTTTCTTCTATTTTTATCTTATTTTCATTTTCATTTTTGTACTCCCAATAGGTGAAGTATGTTCTGTGGGTGGTTCATGAAATAGAAGTTCAGACAATTGAAACCTCAAAAGGAGGGATGTAACACATTTAAAACAGCAACAGAATAAAAATCAAAGTGGGTTATAGCCAAAGGAAAAATAATAATAATCAATCAAACTATAATAACAACAACAGCAAAAACAACATATGAGAATTCCATGGTTTTTCAGTACAGTATTAATTTGGGAACAAGTCACTTAGCTTTACTGGAATGTCTTAAGCAGAGTGGTGACTGTGTTGCCTGGCTTGAGAGAGCGTCAGTTGTCATCACCTGGCTGTGTTGCTGCAGCCACAAGCAGCACAAAATACTTTGCTACATGAAACAAAAGGCAAAATAGTGCCTCTGCTGCCACACAAATACCGATTTCACAAACAGCAGCCAAGCAGAGATGCAGATTAAGACATAAGAGGATCCATGCTGGAACTGAACAAAGTCTCATCTAGTCCAGCACTCTATTTCACACACAGTGCCCAAACAGTCGAGAAACCATTAGAAGCCCACATGTGCAGCTTGACCCTCCAGCTCATGTTCCATAGCAACTGGCATATAAGAACATGCCGCCTCTCATATTGGAGTTTGATATATAGCCATCCCAACTAGTAGCCACTGATTTCCCCATTCTGATTCAACCCCTTTTAAAGCCTTCCAGCTTGACAGTCATTGCTGCTTCTTGTGATACTGAGCTCCAGAGTTTAACTACCTGTGAAGAAGTTCTTATTTTTATCTGTCCGGAATCATCCTCTATTCAGATTCTCCACTTTCTCCACATCATGAATAATTTTATACACTGGGAAATCTTGTGTCCTCTTACTCAACTTTTTTCTAAACTGAACAACCTCAAGCATTGGCTTTCCTGTTGAGCAGTTGCTCTAACCCCCCC